GATGTCACAGATTAAAAAAAAAAATATCACTCAATGAAACTGTTCGGGATACAATTCTGAAAAAAAGTCATCCAGCTTCTTTTCTCTGATGTGCTGTCAAAGATGTTGGTGAAATCTGTTCACTCCACTATCAGAGGATTCAAGACCCTGGACGCGTGTCTGCTCAGAGAAGGTGATTTACTCCCTGCACCACCAGTGAGGCCTGGCTTCTTACACTTTCTTACAACCTGGCACAATAATATCACATATGAAAAGTATTTTTGTCTGTTCAAACTTCAAACTCTTACAACAGTCAAAGTGTTGGGGATCTTTCTGCTGGTTTCAGGTGTACTGTCAAATATTTTGGTGACATTTGGTTGAAAATGAGATGAGATAGAAAATGTGCATACTGTACAAATCACAACAAGATACCAAACATCACTGTGTGCTCACCATTGTGAACACCATTTGAAACATGTGATATCTAGTACAGGGGTCTTCAAAAGTTTTCAGGCCAAAGAAACCTTAGCCCAAACAGAAACAGAGCAGGGACGCCCTGCTACATATATCATATAAAACTGAGTTGCACTTGAGATTATTCTCTGGATATGTTTTGGTCTGCTATTGTTTGGGTTTGCCTGTAGCTGCTAAGTCAGTAGCAGTTGTAGCATGGCTAGGTGTTGAACACCCAAGATGTGGTATCCAAAGACCCTGTTGAGTTTGGTAGCATTTAAGCATTTGGAGAGTTGAAGAAATGGATGTTAATTGTTTTTGCATACTTTAAAAGAAAAATAGAGTGACAGACTTTAGAACTGACCACAGGTTGCAGTGAGGCAATATTTTGTCATATCATAACTTATTCTCACTCCCAACTCGTCACATATGGCCATGTAATCAGTTCACTTTGGATGTCTACATATGACATGCCAGGTATCCTGCGTTTTGTCTTTTCAAAATACACTTCTGTTTTGTTTTCTCAGGAAATGTACAGTCTCTGCTTGTTAGGTGCATACAGTCTTTTCAAAATAAACTTACAATGTAGGTAAAACACCCCGTATTTACGTTCATTTCCTTGTGCAACAAAAGCACGTGTTTAGGTTTAGAGAAAAAACATCATAGTTTTGCTTAACATTCAAACAGGAAGTGAACACCGGCTCCTGAGTGAGATGTTTGTTGGACCCATCCACCTCGCCTCCCGCCCTATGGGGACTTCGCAGCTCCTTACGTTTCTTTGTTTTCCGGCAGTGTTTAAAACCGATGCTGTCAGGCAGTGTATCATACCGCCACAAAAGGATGGCTTTTCTCATCATTGTCTGAGGGGGAAATCATTGACCAAGAGGAGGTATTTTGCACCTTCAGAATGAGAATGCGTTGCAAAATTCAGTGGATGTCAAAAAAAAAAGTCAGCTCTGTCGGATGTCCTGGTTTTCTTTAAAGGGATAGTGCACCCAAAAATGAAAATCCAGCCATTATCTACTCACCCATATGCCGATGGAGGCCCTGGTGAAGTTTTAGAGTCCTCACATCACTTGCGGAGATCGGCGGGGGGAGCGGCCAGCACACCTAATGGCAGACGGTGCCCCAGACTAACGTCCAAGAACACAAAATTGAATCCACAAGATATCTCCATACTGCTCATCCATAGTGATCCAAGTGTGCTGTAGCCCCGACATAAAAAGTTGTTTCGATAAACATCATTTGAACTCTGTTTTTAGCCTCACTGTAGCCTGTAGCTCTGACTGCTTCTCTGTGCTCCGTGCTCCACGTGTGTGCGCTCAGGGTGATCAGTGATGCATGGTCTCTGAAGAGCAGCAGTCTCGTCAGTACTGATGTCCAGATTCTCAAGTGCAGGCATCGCCAATTCCCAGTCTGAGCAGCAAAGACTTTCCTCATCCGTTGGCATTGCTTTGCATTTGAAACAACTACACCACCAGGTTTCCAGTGCTGGACTCCGGTATTCTGCGGCTGGCTGAGGCTCATGAGCTGCGGCGGCTGCTTCGTCCAGTAGCCTGAGTTCCGTCCGTATACTCGGGCTCAAACAAATACGGCTCAACAAAGAAATGCTGTTCCTCCTCAGTTTCAGAGTCTTCAGACATGTTGGGCTGTCCTTTGCTAAAAGACCGTAGTGCAAATTATCTTTTAGCGACTGTGGCTACCGTTGTCTCCCCCTGTGGCGCACGTGTGACGTGATGTAAACACGGGTGAGCAAAGCTCATGCTTTTGCTGGTCTCGCGCAGGCGCGCACACGTAAGCGCAGAGCACAGAGAAGCAGTCAGAGCTACAGGCTACAATGAGGCTAAAAACAGAGTTCATATGACTTTTTTTGAAACAACTTTTTATGTCGGGGCTTCAGCACACTTGGATCACTATGGATGAGCAGTATGGAGATATTTTGTGGATTCAATTTTGTGTTCTTGGACGTTAGTCTGGGGCGCCGTCTACCACTAGGTGTGCTATCCGCTCCCCCCACCGATCTCCGCAAGGGATGTGAGTACTCTAAAACTTCACCTGGGCCTCCATCGGCATATGGGTGAAGAGATAATGGCTGAATTTTCATTTTTGGGTGCACTATCCCTTTAAGTTTGCAATGTGTAATGTCTACAAATTTAGATTTATTGTAATAAACCACGTCCACTTTAACCAGTCATTACTGATTTCATTCATTGACTGAGTCATGATGCTAAATGCTGCAACCACATTTTACACAAATGCCTGTAGCCGATTCCAAAGTACAGACTTTTTGCATTTGTGGCGCCCCCTGGTGGCAGATTAGACAGCATAGTGAAGCTTGGACCTAGAACCTGAACATGTGCGCCAGGTTTGCTCACAATTGCTAAAGCCAATTTCAGTTTATCAGTATTTATGTAAAATGAACTTGTTTAAAAATGTATAATTTCAAAGCAGACGGCCATATCAATATTGTCATGATAACATAAGATCAGTGATGGACAGTCCTGCCACACTTCTAGGAAGATTGGACCAACAGTCGTCAGTCATGTAGAAAAGAGGCTAAATTTGACATTTGTAGAAACCAAGAAGACCAGGACCACCAGAGCAAAGACGCAGATGAATTGAGAGATTAATATGGTCGCTTCTGAGATAACTGTGAAAACATAAACTTGATTGTTACAGCGCCACCTTGAGGTCAGTGAGTGTCATTTTTTGTGCCTGAGTAGTGGACAGAATTTGCAACCCACCTGCCTGTTTAATTGAGTTTTGGCCGACGGTGTTTGCTGCAGACAGACAAATTTTCTTTTGTGTGTGTGTGTCCATCCCTTTGTGATTATTGATTATTCTGTGTCCCCTCTCTGAGTTCAGAGGTTTTTGCAGGTCAGTGAACACACTGCAGGCTGAACGCTTAATTAGTTGGTTTTTTTTTTTCATCAGCTGCAGTTTGTCGACAGAGAGAGATGCAAAAGAGATGCAAAACAGAAACTGCACTCGAGAGAGAGTGCTGATAATGTGGCAGTGTGTCACAAATAAATGGGTGAAACCACGTGTTTACTTTTCAGTCCTCGTTTGTGTCTCCATGTGGCACATATTCACATAAACAATAAGTTAATCAATTTTAATGAATGTATAGACCTCAGGACTTCATATAGGGACACCACCTCAATTAAGAATTCCAATGTTATTTTAATGGGCTTGGAAAGTTCAATCAATACTTGTGAACATGAGCTCCTCTCTCAAACAAAGTCAGAAACCACAGTAGTAAAGGCCTTTGCACACCAAGACTGTATTTTTTCGTATGCTTTTTTTTAAAAAATCTGTCAAAAACAAAGTTACACACCTAAACTTTGCACACTGACTCTGATTTGTTGTGTTTCTGCACCATGGCTGAAGAAGCTGAGCTGTTCTCCCTCTTTGTCTCCACAATGACACTTTGTCTGTCCGTGTGCGGTCCACAGCCTCCTTGTCATCAACCTCTACCTGAATATTACTCCCTGACCTGATGAAAGTAGGCTGGCTAAGTTATGAAATGATACTGTGCACGCCATGTCCCACAGACTACACCACATTTTCCTTGCTGCTTATTGGTCAAACAGCTCTCTAGAGGCTTTTGATGGATGTGAACATTTACAGAAAACTGAAGCTGTTCAGAAAACAGAAACAGAAACAGTTTGCGCAGGTGACTCTTCACATGGTTTTGTGCCAAGATTTTTATTTGTAAAGTGACTAAAGCTGTCAGATAAATGTAGTGGAGTGAAGAATGGAGCATGAAAAGAAAATGCTTAAGTACAGTACCTTAAAACATAACTTCAGTACAGTACTTGGATCCCTTAAAGTGAAGCCCTTAACAGCCAAACCAACCTGTTCTCACTCTGAAGTTGTCGAATACCAGTCCTTGGACACTGACCTCCAGAATCAGACACCAATGAAAAAAGCCATACTTTCACATCAGCATGTCAGAGGGGAAATGCAGCTGAACAACAAGGAAAGTTAAGGTGGCAAAAGTCCAAGTAGGGCATGGGGGAGGGGAGGTGGATGGGTCCAACAACCATAGACTTTCAGCCGGGAGGCTGGTGTTCAATGTAAAGCCAAACCCTGTTCTTTTTTCCTGAACCCAATCACGTGTGTTTGTTGTTGAAGGAAAAAAATGTTAATTTGCAGTGTTGTACTGACATAGTGCTTTTATTTTGAAAGAAACTGTACATTTCCTGTGAAAACCGAAGTGTATTTTGAAAACAGACAATGCATGTAACAGGCTGAAGTTGACACGGCGTCCCAGAACGTCAACAACCAACACACCCAGGGTACCTTGGACGTCATATGTGGACGTGGGAAGTCCATGACCAAACGTGGACATGTGACGAGGTCACAGTGAGAATTATTATTTGTTTTGAGCTGCAGGACGTTTCTGTCCCAGAACTGTAACTAAAGGTGAAATAGTGCCTGATTCAGATTTAATGCTGCAGAATGATGGTGTACAGTGTTACTTATTATTATAGTTGGGATTTTTTGAGATCCACCAAACGTTTACACATACAACAGGAGGTTAAACACAGACTCACAGACCATCACAGATTTTCACAGCTTACGCTTTTTTAATTTGCCAGGAAAGAACAGTTCACTCTGCAGAATACAGATGTGTAAAAGCGTGAAGACCTAAGAGACAATCCAGCCCCTGTTTATGTCATTCATCTCTTCATTGGTTAAGTATCATTACAGCAACATAAGATAGAGATCCCACAAGTTATATATGAGACTGGTGGCACAATGACACATGGGCTGATGCTTGTGCTTTTTACAGATGGATTGTGGCTCTCTGCAGCTCAGGAATCACATGATGAACATGCTGCAGACAGATGGGAGCTCAGCATCACACCGCATGTCTTTCCAACATCCAGTTGCATCATCTGTAAGTACCAAACACACAGGAGTCAGTGTGTGAATATTCCAGGGAAAATGACACCACTCATACATCATGTTCAGGTTGATTTATTTACCTTTAATGACTATTTTCAGACAGTTTTCCTTAGTAGGTTCTCCAGGACACTTGTTGGGAAACATGACGGGAGACATATGATCACTCCAAGACCAAGAAGAATCCTGTGAGGAAAATAGAATTTTGTGATTTATATAATTATAAAATATGGTTTAAAAAATACTGTAGGACTTTGTGTAATGGTAAATGATATACCTCTGGTGCTTTATGGCCTCCAACCCACACTTGTCCTGACTTGTGACCAGCCTTCTGCATCAGTTCTCGCATCTCAGCAAATTGTTCATGTTCAAATACAGCTGCAAGGCTTCCACCGTCCAACCGGCAGTTTTCCTACAGTGGAGAAAAACAACCTTAGTAACACAACACTGACAGAAGATGAATCAAATGTGCAAGTAAATACAGATTTAACTTATTGCAGATACATTCTGCTCTGAATAAAAATAGAGGTGGTATGTAAAAATAATATTAATAAGTGAAGGTAACACTTTATATAAAGGTACTGTAATAAACGTTAATTAATGCTTAATAAGCACCAATTAACAGGTAATGAGCACTTATAAGACATAATAAGATATTTATTACCATTAATAAGACTATGTAAATGTTAATTTTAGCACAATGCTGTAATAAATTATTTATATAGTTTTATTAATGTTAATAAGCATCTTATACGTCTTGTAAGTGCTCATTAACTGTTAATTGGTGCTTATTAAGCATTAATTAACGCTTATTACAGTACCTTAATATAAAGTGTTTCCAATAACTTTATTTGTGTAGCATAGTTCATACAGTAAGTGCAACTCAAAGATACAAAAACACAACCACACACTCACACAGACACACACATAAAAATACTACTTAGGTTTGGTACAAATTAATTAAATAAAAACTATATAAATGCAAGTCTAAAAAAGATTTTTGGAAGGCTGTTTCAGAGCGGAGGGCCAACAACGCCAAATGCAGCATCACAGTACGTCTCTGTGCTGTAGACTGTTGCCATTAGATGTATTCTACATTCGACATCTAGAGACGTGCAGTATCTTCTGTGGAGCAAACTCCCCTTTGTCTTAAATCCTTGCAAACGTTACAGGTCCACCTTGTTTGGTCTGTTTTTTCAAGCATCCCAGGTCAACAGCATGTGATCTAGAGGGCTAAACACAGCAGCAAAAAGCAAAACGAACCTGGAGCGCTTTGTGTTCCCAAGGCACAGGTTAAGTGAACCGCACCGCATACTTGAAGCGAACTATAGTCCTGAAGTTGGTTTATTCAACTACATCTACAGTACAGGCCAAAAGTTTGGACACACCTTCTCATTCAATGCGTTTTCTTTATTTTCATGACTATTTACATTGTAGATTCTCACTGAAGGCATCAAAACTATGAATGAACACATGTGGAGTTATGTACTTAACAAAAAAAGGTGAAATAACTGAAAACATGTTTTATATTCTAGTTTCTTCAAAATAGCCACCCTTTGCTCTGATTACTGCTTTGCACACTCTTGGCATTCTCTCCATGAGCTTCAAGAGGTAGTCACCTGAAATGGTTTTCCAACAGTCTTGAAGGAGTTCCCAGAGGTGTTTAGCACTTGTTGGCCCCTTTGCCTTCACTCTGCGGTCCAGCTCACCCCAAACCATCTCGATTGGGTTCAGGTCCGGTGACTGTGGAGGCCAGGTCATCTGCCGCAGCACTCCATCACTCTCCTTCTTGGTCAAATAGCCCTTACACAGCCTGGAGGTGTGTTTGGGGTCATTGTCCTGTTGAAAAATAAATGATCGTCCAACTAAACACAAACCGGATGGGATGGCATGTCGCTGCAGGATGCTGTGGTAGCCATGCTGGTTCAGTGTGCCTTCAATTTTGAATAAATCCCCAACAGTGTCACCAGCAAAACACCCCCACACCATCACACCTCCTCCTCCATGCTTCACAGTGGGAACCAGGCATGTGGAATCCATCCGTTCACCTTTTCTGCGTCTCACAAAGACACGGCGGTTGGAACCAAAGATCTCAAATTTGGACTCATCAGACCAAAGCACAGATTTCCACTGGTCTAATGTCCATTCCTTGTGTTTCTTGGCCCAAACAAATCTCTTCTGCTTGTTGCCTCTCCTTAGCAGTGGTTTCCTAGCAGCTATTTGACCATGAAGGCCTGATTGGCGCAGTCTCCTCTTAACATTTGTTCTAGAGATGGGTCTGCTGCTAGAACTCTGTGTGGCATTCATCTGGTCTCTGATCTGAGCTGCTGTTAACTTGCGATTTCTGAGGCTGGTGACTCGGATGAACTTATCCTCAGAAGCAGAGGTGACTCTTGGTCTTCCTTTCCTGGGTCGGTCCTCATGTGTGCCAGTTTCGTTGTAGCGCTTGATGGTTTTTGCGACTCCACTTGGGGACACGTTTAAAGTTTTTGTAATTTTCCGGACTGACTGACCTTCATTTCTTAAAGTAATGATGGCCACTTGTTTTTCTTTAGTTAGCTGATTGGTTCTTGCCATAATATGAATTTTAACAGTTGTCCAATAGGGCTGTCGGCTGTGTATTAACCTGACTTCTGCACAACACAACTGATGGTCCCAACCCCATTGATAAAGCAAGAAATTCCACTAATTAACCCTGATTAGGCACACCTGTGAAGTGGAAACCATTTCAGGTGACTACCTCTTGAAGCTCATGGAGAGAATGCCAAGAGTGTGCAAAGCAGTAATCAGAGCAAAGGGTGGCTATTTTGAAGAAACTAGAATATAAAACATGTTTTCAGTTATTTCACCTTTTTTTGTTAAGTACATAACTCCACATGTGTTCATTCATAGTTTTGATGCCTTCAGTGAGAATCTACAATGTAAATAGTCATGAAAATAAAGAAAACGCATTGAATGAGAAGGTGTGTCCAAACTTTTGGCCTGTACTGTATGTACAAGAAACTACTCTGTAATCTAATACAAGTTACATAATTATAAGACGGCAGTATCAGTATAAATCAAAATATAGACTTCAGTGTTTTGGCTGTAAAATCCGCACACAACTATGACATTTCCAAACATGGTCAAGAAAGAAGTGATCATCCTATAAAATGTATCATGACTCATAAGTCAACCCCAGTTTCCCCTAGTAGAACTTTTACTTGAGTAAAGGATCTGAATACTTCTTCCACCACTGAATGAGAAATCATTCAGATTACCTCAGCTTCAGCCCAGGTCATCTTTTCTGGAATGTAGAGGAGACAACGATATCCAACATTAGTCCAACCATCAGGACAAGATGGTTCCCACCAGCCGTACGCAGCTAAAGACAAATACAGAGGAGGAGATAATGATGAGCTGCAAGGAATATGGATGTGCAGTTTTTTGTGTGTTTGAGGGGAGAATTTTTTTTTCAGGAAGTGTGATGTATATGTGTGTCTATACATACAGGGTTGGGGAGTAACAGAATACAAGTAACTAAGTTCATTCAATCACGCAACATGCAAACTGCACACAGAAGGACTCCAGCCGACCGGAAGGTTCACACCTGGAACCCTCTTGCTGTGAGGCGACAGTGTCACAATTACTGTGATGTCACCCATTCTCAAGTTTAGCATTATGGCCGTCTCCATCTCAGTTGTTAACAAGGTCAAGTCCTGCATCAAATTTGTGGTTAAATGAAAGTAAAGTATTATTGGCAAAATTCACATGAAGCATCAACTGTAGAGTAAAAACCCAGAATGGCCCTCGACACAGCATCATTATACACTCTAAGAAATAATCCACTGGTTTAAAAAATTGCATGCATCTTTTTGAGTACTTCCAATTCTGGCATTATTAAGACAGTCCTATCAGTCTTTTATAATCTGACAAACTCACTTTTGTACAACCGACCTGATTTGCTTTGACCTTGAAAAACATAATTAATTTGAACGAATTAAATATTTATCAAAAAGTTTTTTTGATATTTAGTGGTCAAATTGTTTATTAAGCATATTCTAACTTACTTATTTGAATTCCATCCTACTAAAAAATGTAAAAAAAAAAAAAAAAAAAAGGTCCAGATTTTGACCAACTTCTTATAACTGTTTGCCAGCTGATGAATGTTAAATTTTTTTAAGCTGAATACCTTCTTTATGTTGACCATTATCCACTGACCCAACAAATAACTTTTTAGAGTGTAGATAGATGGATAATCATGATACGTTCATGTGTAAGCAATAGTTTAATCTTGTAGCTGGGTGTCTGGCAGATAAGTGCAGTCAAAAAGTAGAGTATCCCACTCTGAAATGTAGTCAAGTAGAAAAGAGCAGAAAACTGAAATACTCCAGTAAAATACATCATCTTCAAGAACTGTTCTCATGTACAGTATTTTAATAAATTTCGCTCCACCACTGCCACGAAATACTCACGGAAAGCTCTGGTCAGAGCCAGCATTGCACAAAGAAGTGCAGACACAGCCAGCATCTTCATGGTGGTGATGATGTTAACGGTGATAATCTTTCATAAAGAGAGACAGACATGTTAATGATGTTTCACCAGAGAGAAGAGACTCAGACTGGTGCTTTAAAAAAAAGGGATGAAAATAGTTTGTCACAAACCAGCAGAATTAATTTGTCTTCGACCCTCTCAGTGATAGCGTGCAGCTTCAGCCTTTGAGTGCTGAACAAGAGAAAAACCAGCTGTTATATACATGTAAATTTGCAAAACCAGGACCTGAGGCCATGCACGCTGATGGACATGCAAATAAAACTTTCAATCTGCCCTCTAAATGTCACAGAGGCCGTTCCAGGGCAGCTTTAGCTTCATATGTTAACATTTTAATCATCCATCTTATTCCCAGTCCCCATGATACCTTACATGAATTATGGGGGTATCTTCTGGGGCCAAACCAGATCTGGCTTTTTCCAATGGTAATGGTATGTAACGGTATGCTAATCATCTTTTTTAGAGCCAAAGTGCTATATGAGAGACAACTGGACTAACTTGAGTTTCTTGAAGACATGTCACCTCTCATCTAAAAGGCGTCTTCCATTCTAACAGACTGGTGCAGAGTCAAAGGCTTTCAACACTGTGGATGTGAACCCTCATAGAGTCGTCGAGGTCATCATGGGGGTTATTAAGGTTAGATAGGTCCAGGTGTGAATGAGTGTTAGGTCGTCTGGGGAGAGATCTCAAGACTGCGTTGTAGGTGGGTGATAAGTGATGTAATAGGTTACCTCCACTGTTTATGATGGTCGTTTCAGGCCTCTTTCAAACTATCCAGACGGATTGTTTGAAGGAGGCAAACTGGAATGACCGTAGTTATGAAGTAATGGGAACATTTTCAGCTGGTGAATGTAAGCATTTCCATTTTACAAGCTGATTAAGAAAATGTAATCTGGGGATGTGATTTTTGTTAGATTTCAAATCAGTAGGGGTTGACAATGTAAGTAAGGTTGTAACGACTTATTTGATTTTAGGGTAACTGCAATATTATTACTTACATTTTGTTAGCAATTTGTTACACTACTCATGCTGTGAAAAGTAATTTTATTACTGTCCAACACTGTAACAAGTCAACCGATGAAATTCTGTCAAAGATGACTCATCTATGAAGTTTGCTGGTATTTATCTTGTGATGCTGTTGGGTCAACAATGTGCAAGTTCAGAGTCACATGTTGCCCTGCGTTTGTATTGACACTGTCAGGTGAGCCACCTGACAGTGTCAATACAAACACAGTCAAACATTTGCTCAGACTGCACAAATAAAACATAATTTATGTTTCTGTAGTGGTGTGAGAGAGACCACAACATCAGCCATGACATCCACTTTCCTGATGATGATGGTGTTTGCCAAGTATAGTGTATCAAGCATGGGTCTGATCTATATTTCCAAACAATAATTAATAACTGCTCCAGTTGTCAAGACCTCCAGGCACACCAGTATGACATGAATCATCATGAATCAAGATTTTTACATTAACAATTAATCACTTTGTGTCACGTCTGATACTGCTGCTCTTTCCTGTGGTGTACCTCAGGGCTCTGTCTTGGGTCCTATATTATTTGCTTTATATATACGTCTACTAGGTCACATTGTTTTTTTTTTGTTTTTTTTTCATTTAATCTATTAAGGATCCCCATTAGCTGATACCGTAGTAACGGTTATGCTGCTGATTACATTCAGCTGTATGTCTCGTTTAAGCCTGATAACACTGACAAACTTTCTGCTCTGCACAACTCTTTGATAGCCATCAAGGAGCAGATGTCCAACCGCTTTTTACAATTAAACGTAGAAAAGAAGGACGTTCTTAAGATTGCTTCAGATGGTAAAGCTTCAAAGTTTGCCCAGAGTATTGGGTCCCCTTTTGTGGTTTTATGTCTCTGTAGTCATCTGGGTCTCTTTGAGGTTGTTTTGTGTGTTTTTGTAATTGTTTGGGTCTCTGAGGTAATTTTGCATCTCTTCAAGGTAATTTAGTGTCTTTTTGTCTCTTTGTAGTCATTTGGGTCTCTTTGAGACAATTTTGCATCTCTTCAAGGTAATTTTATGTCTTTTTTGGATGTATTGTCTCTCTGTAGTTGTTTGTGTCTCTTTGTGGTTGTTTTGCCTGTTTTTCTAGGTATTTTGTTTCCCTTTCCAGTTCCTTTGCATCTCTTTGTGATCTTTTTTGTGTCTCTTTGTGGTCATTTTGAGTCTCTCCCTGGCTGGTACTGTATGTGTTAATTTGACATCTGCATTTTTTCATGTGACACTTTGGGCCCTTGATTGGTCCATTCATTAATCCATCCATGATTTTATGAGAGTTCACTCTTTCAAATCAAATGTGAAATTTTACCTTTTGGAAAAGCCTTCTTGTTTTTGTCTTGTATAAAATTCAGGATATTTTTGTTTTTAACTGCAGAACATTTCTGTCCCAGAACTGTAACGAAAGGTGAAATAGTGCCTGACTTATTTCCACTTCAATAATTGCAAGTCTGTCAAAATGAAATACAGTTTGACCTGAGAAGTGTGCATCACCAGTTCTGTCATATTTTGTGGGATTCAGATTTAGTGCTGCAGAATGATGGTGTACAGTGTTACTTATTATTATAGTTGGGATTTTTTGAGATTCAACATACTTTTACACATACAACAGGAGGTTAAACACAGACTCACAGACCATCACAGATTTCCAATGCTTTGTAATTTGCCAGGAAAGAACAGTTCACTCTGCAGAATACAGCTGTGTTAAAAGCATTAAGACCTCAGAGAAAATCCAGCCCCTGTTTATTTCACTTGTTACTTAGTAGCGTTACAGCGATAGAGAAGAAATAAAGATGTAACATTAGATAGATACAGTATATCCCACAAGTTAAATAGGACACTGATGGCACAATGACAGATGTTTGTGCTTTCACAGATGGATTGTGGCTCTCTGTCAGCTCAGGAATCACATGAGGAACATGCTGCAGACAGATGGGAGCTCAGCATCACATGGCGAGCCCTCCAAGCATCCAGACGCATTCTCTGTAAGTACCAAACACACAGGAGTCAGAGCACGTCACCTGTCAAATGATGCATCACTCTGTAGACTAGTGGTTTTCAACTTTTTGAGGGCCAGTTCCAACTGATGTGCAATAATCAAAATTATATGTAGAACAACAATATTTACAGTATCTGCAGGTGTAGGTAGATGCAATTCATATTCACAGTAATGCAATGAGTTCATAATCTCATTTCTTGCACTTAAAATATGTGAAGATTATTTAAAATGCATAAAATCTCATGTGTATTTACATTTGCAACCTTTAAAATTAGGAACTATTATTGGTGCTGCATACCTTAAATTGCCATTTTTACATTCTCGCCAGTCGGGGGAGATTTGGGAGAGTTAATTGCAGTCAGACAAGTGGAGAGTGGAGCCACACAGTTTTTTGACCTCTTTAATCTCTCTTACCTCTTTCTTTATCTCTCTCCTTTTATATAATTTTGGATTTTGGAACTGGAAAATTGTTTCTGTACCATTTTTTTTGTATATTGAATTAAACTGTAAAGCTTTACTGAGTGGTCCAGTGAATTATGACAAAGGGAAATATTAGAGCGTCAAGCTACCTACAGCCTTGTCAAAAAAAGCTTCAGATGATGGTGGTGAAAACAAGTCAAATGATAAAATTGGGAAGATGTGCATGTAGGACTAGACTGCTATTTAAAAGCAAACGCACACAAACAACCCCAAAGAACACCCCAACTGTAGGAAACCCCTTATGAAAATATTGCTTCCAGCACCCTCAGCATTCTCTGTACTACCCCTGTGTTACTGTAGACAGACACTACGTAAATATTCCAGGGAAAATGACACCACTCATACATCATGTTCAGATTGATTGATTTACCTTCAAAATTTATTTTCAGGCAGTTTTCCTTGGAAGGCTCCTTAGAGCACCAGTTGGGAAATATGTTGGGAGACATATAATCACTCCAGGACCAAGAAGAACCCTGTGAGGCAAAATAGAACAGAACATTTGTTGGAATTATTATTATTAATAAAATACTGTTAAAATGTACTGTCAGAACTGGTATAATGGTAAGTGATATACCCCTGGTGCTTTGGAACCTCCAACCCACACTTGTCCAGACTTGTGACCAGCCTTCTGCATCACCTCTTGAATCTCATCAAAGTAATACTCTTCAAATACAGATGCGAGGTTTCCATAGGCATGGAAGTCTCCATTGCCTGACTGGCAGTTTTGCTACAGTGGAGAAAAACAACCTTAGTAAGAGTGCGCTGAAAGAAGACCAGATTAGATTTTAGATTAGATGTCCTTTACTGTCCTCAACATTATTCTGCTCTGGTCAGTACAGCACAAAAGACACCACAATAAATAACACAACATAAATATGGCTATATAAAACATGATTCTAGAGGTAGAATAAATCACAAGAACAAATAGCAACTCCCTCTGCAAGATGCCAGTTAACTAACTGTGTAAGTAGATTTTACGAAGTGCAGATACTTTGTACTCTGAGTAACAACAGTGGTGGAATGTTACTAAATACATTTACTATACATAAGTACAAATCCCAGATACGTACTTTACGACAGTAGTCTATTTCTATTTATATTGTGTACATTTCTGATTTTTCTACTTTACTATCTGTTGACTGACAGTGATGAACCCTGACTGTACCAGTGAGGTGTTGACTGGCTGATTCCACTAAAAATTCACTATGTCGTAGCCTGTGATTCAGTAGGCGCTGTCATTGTACAGTCTGCAGACATCAAACTTGATGTTGTACCCAAGTTTATTAGATCAATGTCGCACAGTGTAGCTGCACTAAACTTATATGATTGCTAAAATCAAAAATATCAGTAAACATGAGTCCCTTTCTCCTAAATCCAAAAGCTGGAGTGCTATAACTCAAACGTGTGATGTCATCACGTATGAAGTCTGGAACTGCTCTGCAGACAATGAATGGTGATCTTGTAAATGATGTTGAGGGCAGCCAGGGGAAAGCTCTGAGTTTATGGGGACATTTTCTGTTTCAGAACTAAGAACACTGCAACAGAATAAAGCTCATTTGGGTGTAAAAAGAAAAACAAACATGTTGTGGGCCCAAAATAAGCAGCTCCACACTTTATACTTTATGACGTCAAAAGTTTGAGACTTTCCTCTCTGGTTTCTGGCTTTAAGAGAGAGTAGCTCATGTTCACTAACACTGAGTGAACTCTCTCAGGCCATGGGAATAACATATCAGAATTCTAAATTTGGGTGGTTTTCCTCTTTAAAACTAAAACTATAAACTTTTACTTTAGTAAGGTTTTGAACTCAGGACTTTTACTCGTAGTGGAGCATTATCACAGTATGATATTAATACTTTTACTTCAGTAATAGACATGAATACTTCTTCTGACACTAAATAAGAAATCCTCCTTATTACCTCAGCCTCAGTCCAAGTCATGTTTTCTGGAACGTAGAGGAGACAACGAGTATCGAACATTGTCCACCCATCAGGACAGCTGAAGCCAAAGTGATGAAAGCCAAAGTCATCTAAAGACAAACAGAAGAGAAGGTAGTAATTTGACAAGTTGGGATGAGAACGCATTGAATCTTCCCAACACTGTAATGTGTGTGTGTGTGTGTGTGTGTACTTCTACCAACCGTATATTGGTGTTGGAACTGAAGTTGGAGGTAGCGTAACTACATGCAGGTCCTCTGCCCCAGGTCCCTCCTCTGCTTTTGAAAGAGCAAGACAGACCGTTCAACTCATCAGTAAGCAGTTGTGGAAGATGTACTGTGATCTTTTACTGACACATATCAATCTTCTCATCAATCTCAGCAAGGGAGCAAATATGAGCTTATTCATAAAAATGTTGAACCATTCCTTTTAGTAAAAGTAACGATCAATAAATACATAGTTTCATATTAAAGTACGACATCAAGTTTGTCTTCAAGTAAAATACAGTTAAGTAGTTTTATCAGCAAAATGTACATGAAGTATTAAATGTGGTACTGAAGTATTCCAAAAGTAACCCAAACACATGCAAAGGCACCATTAGTGGCCTTCAGAAACACACCAGCAGGCGGCAGATTGTAACGATGCTAACAACTTTTGATGAGTTAAAATGACAACGTATTGAGCCTTACCAACACTGTGTAGTGTGTGTGTGTGTGTGTGTACGTCTACCAACCTGATGGTGGCGGAATTGATTCAGTAGGCTCCTCTGTCTCAGCGTCATTCTCTCCTCCTGCAGGGGCTGGATGGACAGTTTGACACGTCAGTGAGCAGTGATAGAAGAAGTACTCTTGATTCTTTACTAAAACATAATTTTTGTTGGGGCGTCGGTGGCTTAGTGGTAGAGCAGGCGCACCATGTACAAGGCTGTTGCCGCAGCGGCCCGGGTCGCTCATTTGTCCTATCGATTAAAGGCTTAAAAATGCCCTCCCCCCAAAAAAAATATCTTTAAAAAAAAAAAAGAAACATAATTATTGTTAACAATGAAACTGTTAGCGTCTGGCTGTAGCTTCATATTTAGTTTAGACATGACAATCAGTCTTCTCATTGATCTCTAAGCAAGGAAGCAAATATGAGCAAATAAAGTTCTGCATCAATTTTGAATTTAGGTAAAATACTGAAGTAAAACACACAAGTATTACCAGCAAACCACAGTTGTTAAATACTGTCACTTTTTTAATTACATGGTTGTTAGATATCAATACGCAAAGGCACCTTTTGTGGTGGTATAATACGACAGTTGTTAACGCAGCGGCCAACAACCAAAGTTGTTAACTGCAGCTATGTCAGTGGACGTCCATGTAAGAGAGCGACATGCAAAGGCACCATTAATGACCTTCAGAAACACACCGGCAGGCGGCAGATTGTAACGATGCTAACAACTTTTGTCATACTAAGGGCATACCTGTCACATGACATTGCATCACGGTAGTAACAAACATACTTATTTTACAACAAGTCCTGATGTTTTTGTTTTTTTCTAGACCTAACCTTGTGCTGTTGTTCCCTTAACTTACAAAAAGTAAAAATGAGAGCTTTTAGGTACGTCGTAAGATTGCTTTGAAAAGACACAAAACATGTAAGAAGTGTAAAAGAACATGCCGTCCCGGACCTTAAAAAACAGAAGCAGGGAGGTACCCAGTGCATCACACTTTGCCATGTAGGTCCACTGACAAAGCAGTGGTTATTGATGAGTTGGAATGACAACGTATTGAGCCTTACCAACACTGTGGTGTGTGTGTGTGTGTGTGTGTGTGTGTGTGTGTGTGTGTGTGTGTGTGTGCGCGCGCGCGTGCGTCTACCAACCTGATGGTGCTGGAGCTGATTCAGTAGGCACCTCTGTCTCAGTGTCATTCTCTCCTTCTGCAGGAGCTGGATGGACAGTTTGACACGTCAGCGAGCAGTGGTGAAGGAAGTTGTCTGATTCTTTACTAAAACAATTTTTGTTAACTATGAAGCTGTTAGTGTCTGGCTGTAGCTTCATATTTAGCATACAGTCATGGAATGAATGAATTCAGTCTTCTCATGTGTCTCTCAATGAGGAAACAAATATAAGCACATTTGTGAAAATGGCAAAATTTTCCATTAAGTAAAAGTCACAAAATCTAGACTTTGTGTCAAGTAAAAATCATGCATTTGAATTTTTATTTAAGTAAGTATTATTGGCAAAATAAACATAAAGTATCAAAGGTAGTGTTAAAATCCAGAATTACCCTCTATACAGTATTTTTATGAATAGATGAATAATTATTGATGCATTCATGTTTAAGCAATAGTTTGATCTTGTAGCTGGGTGTCTATCAGATACGTGCAGTCAAAAGTACTGTATTCCACTCTGAAATATAGTCAAGTACAAAGTAGCAGAAAATGGAAATACTCCAGTAAAATACGTTTACTTCAAAAACTGTTCTCATGTACAGGACTAAATTACGCTCCACCACTGCCAGGAAATACTCACAAGTAGCTCTGGTCAGAACCAGCAATGCACAAAGAAGTGCAGACACAGTCAGCATCTTCATGGTGGTGATGATGTTAACAGTGATAATCTTTCATAAAGAGAGACAGGCTTGTTAATAAGTAATAATACTTCAGCAGGGAAAAGACGACTTAGATTGGTTCTTAAAAAAAAGGATGATAATAGAGTTTGTAGCAAACCTGCTGCAGAATTAATTTCCCTCTGACCCTCTGAATGGTGACAGCTTCAGCCTTCCTGTGAACTGAACAAGAGAAGAACCAGCTGTTTTATAAACTTGCATTTACAAAGCCAGGACCTGAGGCCATGCACACTGATGGAAACGCAAATAAAAATTTGATCTGGGTAACACTTTACAATAAGGTACACAAAATTAGAGTAGTTACTGAGGAACTAATGAGGAACGAATGAGGAACTAACTATTAGTTAATGGTCAGTTCCTCAGTAACTCATGATCAAATTTCAGAGGAGTAGTTACTGAGGAACGAATGAGGAACTATTGAGTAGTTACTGAGGAACTAAGGTACACAAAATTAGAGTAGTTACTGAGGAACTAAGGTACACAAAATTAGAGTAGTTACTGAGGAACGAATGAGGAACTAATGAGGAACGAATGAGGAACTAATGATGAACTATTGGTTAATGGTCAGTTCTTCATTAACTCATGATCAAATTTCATAGAGGGGTTAATCACGACTTAATAATTAGTGAACTAGTTACTTCATCAGTGCAGAATCATTACTCAATAACCCGTCCATTAGTTAACCTTTTTATGTCCTAAAGTAAAGTGACACATAATGAGTAGTCTTTCATTACAT